TCTCATCACTCTCTCCATCATATCTTCTCTCATCACTCTCTCCATCATATCTTCTCTCATCACTCTCTCCATCACATCTTCTCTCATCACTCTCTCCATCACATCTTCTCTGATCACTCTCTCCATCACATCTTCTCTCATCACTTTCTCCATCATATCTTCTCTCATCACTCTCTCCATCATATCTTCTCTCATCACTCTCTCCATCATATCTTCTCTCATCACTCTCTCCATCATATCTTCTCTCATCACTCTCTCCATCATATCTTCTCTCATCACTCTCTCCATTATATCTTATCTCATCACTCTCTCCATCATATCTTCTCTCATCACTCTCTCCATCATATCTTCTATCATCGCTCTCTCCATCGTATCTTCTCTCATCGCTCTCTCCATCGTATCTTCTCTCATCACTCTCTCCATCATATCTTCTCTCATCACTCTCTCCATCATATCTTCTATCATCACTCTCTCCATCGTATCTTCTCTCATCACTCTCTCCATCGTATCTTCTCTCATCACTCTCTCCATCACATCTTCTCTCATCACTCTCTCCATCATATCTTCTCTCATCACTCTCTCCATCATATCTTCTCTCATCACTCTCTCCATCATATCTTCTCTCATCACTCTCTCCATCACATCTTCTCTCATCACTTTCTCCATCACATCTTCTCTCATCACTCTCTCCATCATATCTTCTCTCATCACTCTCTCCATCATATCTTCTCTCATCACTCTCTCCATCATATCTTCTCTCATCACTCTCTCCATCATATCTTCTCTCATCACTCTCTCCATCATATCTTCTCTCATCACTCTCTCCATCATATCTTCTCTCATCACTCTCTCCATCATGTCTTCTCTCATCACTCTCTCCATCATATCTTCTCTCATCACTCTCTCCATCATATCTTCTCTCATCACTCTCTCCATCACATCTTCTCTTATCACTCTCTCCATCCATCACATCTTCTCTCATCACTCTCTCCATCACATCTTCTCTCATCACTCTCTCCATCATATCTTCTCTCATCACTCTCTCCATCATATCTTCTCTCATCACTCTCTCCATCATATCTTCTCTCATCACTCTCTCCATCACTTCTTCTCTCATCACTCTCTCCATCATATCTTCTCTCATCACTCTCTCCATCATATCTTCTCTCATCACTCTCTCCATCATATCTTCTCTCATCACTCTCTCCATCATATCTTCTCTCATCACTCTCTCCATCATATCTTCTATCATCACTCTCTCCATCGTATCTTCTCTCATCACTCTCTCCATCATATCTTCTCTCATCACTCTCTCCATCACTTCTTCTCTCATCACTCTCTCCATCATATCTTCTCTCATCACTCTCTCCATCATATCTTCTCTCATCACTCTCTCCATCATATCTTCTCTCATCACTCTCTCCATCATATCTTCTATCATCACTCTCTCCATCGTATCTTCTCTCATCACTCTCTCCATCGTATCTTCTCTCATCACTCTCTCCATCACATCTTCTCTCATCACTCTCTCCATCATATCTTCTCTCATCACTCTCTCCATCATATCTTCTCTCATCACTCTCTCCATCATATCTTCTCTCATCACTCTCTCCATCATATCTTCTCTCATCACTCTCTCCATCATATCTTCTCTCATCACTCTCTCCATCATATCTTCTATCATCACACTCTCCATCATATCTTCTCTCATCACTCTCTCCATCATATCTTCTCTCATCACTCTCTTCATCATATCTTGTCTCATCACTCTCTCCATCATATCTTCTCTCATCACTCTCTCCATCATATCTTCTCTCATCACTCTCTCCATCACATCTTCTCTCATCACTCTCTCCATCACATCTTCTCTGATCACTCTCTCCATCACATCTTCTCTCATCACTTTCTCCATCATATCTTCTCTCATCACTCTCTCCATCATATCTTCTCTCATCACTCTCTCCATCATATCTTCTCTCATCACTCTCTCCATCATATCTTCTCTCATCACTCTCTCCATCATATCTTCTCTCATCACTCTCTCCATCATATCTTATCTCATCACTCTCTCCATCATATCTTCTCTCATCACTCTCTCCATCGTATCTTCTATCATCGCTCTCTCCATCGTATCTTCTCTCATCACTCTCTCCATCATATCTTCTCTCATCACTCTCTCCATCATATCTTCTCTCATCACTCTCTCCATCATATCTTCTATCATCACTCTCTCCATCGTATCTTCTCTCATCACTCTCTCCATCGTATCTTCTCTCATCACTCTCTCCATCACATCTTCTCTCATCACTCTCTCCATCATATCTTCTCTCATCACTCTCTCCATCATATCTTCTCTCATCACTCTCTCCATCATATCTTCTCTCATCACTCTCTCCATCACATCTTCTCTCATCACTTTCTCCATCACATCTTCTCTCATCACTCTCTCCATCATATCTTCTCTCATCACTCTCTCCATCATATCTTCTCTCATCACTCTCTCCATCATATCTTCTCTCATCACTCTCTCCATCATATCTTCTCTCATCACTCTCTCCATCATATCTTCTCTCATCACTCTCTCCATCATATCTTCTCTCATCACTCTCTCCATCATGTCTTCTCTCATCACTCTCTCCATCATATCTTCTCTCATCACTCTCTCCATCATATCTTCTCTCATCACTCTCTCCATCATATCTTCTCTTATCACTCTCTCCATCACATCTTCTCTCATCACTCTCTCCATCATATCTTCTCTCATCACTCTCTCCATCACATCTTCTCTCATCACTCTCTCCATCATATCTTCTCTCATCACTCTCTCCATCATATCTTCTCTCATCACTCTCTCCATCATATCTTCTCTCATCACTCTCTCCATCATATCTTCTCTCATCACTCTCTCCATCATATCTTCTCTCATCACTCTCTCCATCATATCTTCTCTCATCACTCTCTCCATCATGTCTTCTCTCATCACTCTCTCCATCATATCTTCTCTCATCACTCTCTCCATCATATCTTCTCTCATCACTCTCTCCATCACATCTTCTCTTATCACTCTCTCCATCCATCACATCTTCTCTCATCACTCTCTCCATCACATCTTCTCTCATCACTCTCTCCATCATATCTTCTCTCATCACTCTCTCCATCATATCTTCTCTCATCACTCTCTCCATCATATCTTCTCTCATCACTCTCTCCATCACTTCTTCTCTCATCACTCTCTCCATCATATCTTCTCTCATCACTCTCTCCATCATATCTTCTCTCATCACTCTCTCCATCATATCTTCTCTCATCACTCTCTCCATCATATCTTCTCTCATCACTCTCTCCATCATATCTTCTCTCATCACTCTCTCCATCATATCTTCTCTCATCACTCTCTCCATCACATCTTCTCTCATCACTTTCTCCATCACATCTTCTCTCATCACTCTCTCCATCATACCTTCTCTCATCACTCTCTCCATCATATCTTCTCTCATCACTCTCTCCATCATATCTTCTCTCATCACTCTCTCCATCACATCTTCTCTCATCACTCTCTCCATCATATCTTCTCTCATCACTCTCTCCATCATATCTTCTCTCATCACTCTCTCCATCATATCTTCTCTCATCACTCTCTCCATCATATCTTCTCTCATCACTCTCTCCATCATATCTTCTCTCATCACTCTCTCCATCACATCTTCTCTCATCACTCTCTCCATCACATCTTCTCTCATCACTCTCTCCATCACATCTTCTCTCATCACTCTCTCCATCACATCTTCTCTCATCACTCTCTCCATCATATCTTCTCTCATCACTCTCTCCATCATATCTTCTCTCATCACTCTCTCCATCACATCTTCTCTCATCACTCTCTCCATCATATCTTCTCTCATCACTCTCTCCATCATTTCTTCTCTCATCACTCTCTCCATCATATCTTCTCTCATCACTCTCTCCATCATATCTTCTCTCATCACTCTCTCCATCATATCTTCTCTCATCACTCTCTCCATCACATCTTCTCTCATCACTCTCTCCATCATATCTTCTCTCATCACTCTCTCCATCATATCTTCTCTCATCACTCTCTCCATCATATCTTCTCTCATCACTCTCTCCATCATATCTTCTCTCATCACTCTCTCCATCATATCTTCTATCATCACTCTCTCCATCATATCTTCTCTCATCACTCTCTCCATCATATCTTCTCTCATCACTCTCTTCATCATATCTTGTCTCATCACTCTCTCCATCATATCTTCTCTCATCACTCTCTCCATCATATCTTCTCTCATCACTCTCTCCATCACATCTTCTCTCATCACTCTCTCCATCACATCTTCTCTGATCACTCTCTCCATCACATCTTCTCTCATCACTTTCTCCATCATATCTTCTCTCATCACTCTCTCCATCATATCTTCTCTCATCACTCTCTCCATCATATCTTCTCTCATCACTCTCTCCATCATATCTTCTCTCATCACTCTCTCCATCATATCTTCTCTCATCACTCTCTCCATTATATCTTCTCTCATCACTCTCTCCATCATATCTTCTCTCATCACTCTCTCCATCATATCTTCTATCATCGCTCTCTCCATCATATCTTCTCTCATCACTCTCTCCATCGTATCTTCTCTCATCACTCTCTCCATCATATCTTCTCTCATCACTCTCTCCATCATATCTTCTCTCATCACTCTCTCCATCATATCTTCTCTCATCACTCTCTCCACCATATCTTCTCTCATCACTCTCTCCATCATATCTTCTCTCATCACTCTCTCCATCATATCTTCTCTCATCACGCTCTCCATCATATCTTCTCTCAACACTCTCCACACGCATCTCACTCCTCTTATCCCCCCTCCTCTCTCGCCTCCCTTGCCCTTCCCTCACTTCTCCACACACATGCATCTCACTCCTACCTTCCGCCCTCCTCTCTTTCCCCATCTCGCCCCTGCCCTCTCCCCCAGGTGATAGTGATGGTGGGCGATCCCATCGACATCTCCGATCCGACCTGCTGCATACTTACCAGCAGCAGCATCCTCCCCCCCTTCTCCCCTTCCTTCCGCTCCCCTCCCGTCCCTCCTCTCCTCGCTCGTCCCTGCCCTCACTGCTCACAGGTGGTAGTGATGGTAGGTGATCCCATTGACACCTCCGACCTGCTGCATGCACACCGCCAGCAGCAGGACAGCCAGCAGAAGCAGCATCCTCCCCTCCCTTCCCCTACCCTCCCTGCCCTCTCTTCCCCCAGGTGGCAGTGATGGTGGGCGACCCCATTGACATCTCCGATCTGCTGCTCGCTTACGGCCATCAGCAGCACCAGTACCAGCATCGGCACCATCAGCAGCAGCACCACCACCATTTCGACCACCTCCCCGACAGCCAGCACGCACAGCCTGACCAGCACACCATCGCTCACACCACCAGCACCCCCACCGACCAACACACCCCCCATCCGCCCTCCTCCCTCTCTCCACACCCGTCTCCTTCCCCTGCGCTGCTGGACGCCATCTGTTCGCGCATAGGGGCGCAGCTGCAGCGTCTGCACGCCACCTTGCTGGCGCATGAAAGCCACCTGCTTGAAGGGGGAGTTGCACTTGAAGGGGCGTTGCCGGGGGGAGAGTCGTTGGGAGTGGAGGGGCGTGTGCGTGATAGGGAGATGGCAGCACTGATGGGTGGGGCAGTAGCAGGAGTGGTGGGTGGGGCAGTAGCAGGAGTGGTGGGTGGGGCAGTAGCAGGAGTGGTGGGTGGGGCAGTAGCAGGAGTGGTGGGTGGTATGAACGATGGTATGAACGAGCTACAGCAGCTGCACTGGCAACCACACGCCACCGACAGTCGCGTTTCACATTGGCCGTTCCCCCTCGCTGCCCATCCCCTCAGCTGCTTGGAGGACCACAGATGGCCCTCTCTCACACCCGCCTCCCACATGGCTCGTGATCCCCCCCCTGGTGGCAGCAGCACCGGCGCCACCAGGCGTGGTGCTGGGAGCCTGTTGCGATCCCAGTGGGCAGAAGCAGCAGCAGCAGCAGCAATGGCGGCAGCAGCGCGGGAGGCAGTGGTGAGGCAGCAGGAGGCGGAGAGGGTGGCGCTGCTGTTTGGCTTTGCTGCCCGCTGTGCCGTGGGTGGGGGGCAGGGGCGAGACAGAGAAGCATCATTGATGTGATCTGCTGATCTGCTGATGGGTGGGGGGTAACGTGGAGGCACAGAGAAGCAGATGATGTGATTTGCTGATTTGCAGCAGCAAGAGCAAGAGCAGCAGGCATGAGGAGTAGTAGCCTGCAGTGCTGGGTTACAACAGTGGGCAGCAGCAACAGCAGGAGTAGCTCGGCTGGCAGTGCCGTGGTGGGGCAGCAGTGCAGACAGGCAAGCGTGACAGATGCATGTGTTGCCTGCAATGGGGTAGCACCTCTCGTGCTTCCACATAGCACGATGCATGCCCTGCCACTGCCTCAGCACAGTATGTGCAGCACACATGTTCAGACTAGACCAGATGCGCATACTTGCATGAAACAGGTGGTTGCTAGTGAGCCATGGATTGGAAGCAGGTGAACTAATCTGCCTTGCTCTAATCTGCCTTGCTCTAATCTGCCCCGCACCGGCAATGTGAGAAAAGGTGGGCACATGGCTCGAGAGCAGTGCAGTGGAGTGGGGCTTTGCTGGCGCCATCATCGTGTAGCATCTTACCACAGTTGAACTTTGATGTTCCTCTGAACCTGCTGGTCTACAAATCTGCTGTACACCAAAACGTGTTGGATTACCGTATGTCATGCAGCACAAGGCAGGGTGGGTGGCGGAACAACCACTTATGTACCGTACAGCAACTGTGCCATGTGGCACAAAAGCAGAATGTCTATATGGAGTAAAACAGCATCACAGAGCATTACACCAGGAGGAAAAAGGAGTACGGTATGTGGAGTAACTCTGGTGCAAGCTACGGGTAAATGTGGCGATGCCAGCTACCGGTAGCTTGGATGTGGAAATGCCCTTGCAATTGGCAAAAATACGGTACAAGGCACAAAAACAAGGCACGCCACTTGCAATTGGCTGTATGGCGATGGCAAATCACGCTGCTTTACACTAGAAGGAAAAAAGAGTCTTCAGAGGAGCAACTCTGGTGCAGGCAAGCAATAGTGGTGGTTGTTAGAGGTCCACTGGTGATCCCCGATTGATCCTAGGGAAGGGTTACAGGCTCGTTGCCGTGGGTGGTTATGGACGCACTGACCCGCTACTTAACAGGCCTTTTTATCCCAATGGTATAGTGGTTGGGATTCTGACAGTGGTGACAGGTAGCCTGGATGGGTGAAAGCCTTTTCGTGGCACAAAAAAAAAGCGACTGGCACCGAGATTCGAGAAGTAGCGTTACTGTGTAACCACTCGAAGGGTGAACGAACCACCCCAAGGTAAAAAGACACTCGTGCCGAGTGATGTAATATGAAGGCATGCGCAGGCAGGGACAAAAGCCATCCGAGACACCACTGCCGGCCAAGGTGCATGGAGCCACACTTGAGCAGCAGTAGAAAAACCCCAAGTGACTGGCTGGCAAAATTCAACCATTGCGTCCTCTTCCTCTCCCCACCACCCACTCCACATGACGCCCTGCAATGCAGGCTCTGCTGTTGATCTCCTTGCTATGGTGGCAGGCCTTTCAGACTCTGCGGGCTGCAGCGCCAACTCTTGCACGTTCTGAATGCCAACTGTATGCACGCGTGGAGAATCGAAGCTCCTCTGTGAGAGCCTTCCCCTGCGCGTCCGCCCATGACACGGATCGAGGCAGACCCATAGGCCGCCCTGCTCTGACTTGCTGATAGCGCGGGCTCGTGCGCAGGGCTGGGCGAAGAGATACCTGCCAAGTTGGGGCAGTTGGAAGGGCGGCCGGGATGGACTTAGGCTCGTGCGTGGAGTGATAGGGCAGGTGGGGCAAGGGAGGGGAGGTGGGTGAGACACGGGTGTTGGGAGTGGGTGCAGAGGAGCATAGGGGTGATGTGGTGGTGGGGACGCGAGTTTGGTTGAATGCTGAGATGCGTGAGAGGGTTGGTGGGGAAGGCACCTGGAGGGAAGCAGAGGAGGAGGAGCGGGATGAGCGAGAAGGAGAGGAGGAGGTGGATGCGAGGGGCAAGGAGGCACTGCGATAGAGCGGGAGTGCTGTAGAAAAAGGAAGAGGGGGAGGAGGAGGGGGGGAATGAGGAGTGTGGATAGGTGGACGGCGAGAGTAAGGGGTGTGGCATGCGATGGTGGTTGGTCTGTGAGGGGAGAGGCATGGAGAGCACATGGGCCTTGCAGGCTGCTTGCTGCACTCGCCTTGCCATGAGCCGATGCCACACTGTCTCCACTCCCATCCCCACACCCACACTTTCCACCGCCTCATTACTGGTGCTGTCGTCTCCTTGCCTCCACTCCTCCCCACTGCATTGCTCCTCTGCTTCCTCCTCTCCCTGCTCCCCCGTCTCGTCACGCCCCTGCTCCTCCGCCCCTTCGCCCTCTCTCTTCCCCTCGAGCCTTGCTGCCTCCCCAACTGCTGCAGAGCAACGAGTCGAATCATCCCCATCACCGCCAGCACACCTGCTGTTCGCATCCCTTGGCTCATCCCCTCTCTCCCACAGCAGCACCTCCCAAAAAGCAGCACTCATGCCACCTCTGCACCCGCTTGCCTCCCTGCTGCCCTCCCTCGGTACTTGATGCAATCCACAGGTGCTGTGGCTGTTGGCACTCGGTCCACTGCCCGCCCCACTGCCAACATGGCCACTGCTGCCCGCCTGCAGCCCTTGCCTCGAGCCCCAGCTGCGCTCGGTAGGCCACAGCCCTCTGCGTGCCTCCGTGCTCGTGGTGGCACGGCCACCACTGGCGCTGCTGCTCGCGGTGCCACTGCCTCGGGGCGCGCCTGTCACTCCACTGAAAGCCCGGTTGAATTCAACTGAACCATGCAATTTCCGTGACTCAAGTTCCTGGGGATGATTGCACGCAGGTGCAGGCAGGGTACCCTCAAGAGGGGCAGCACGTGTGCTTGCATTCCACTGCCCTCTTCGGCCCTCCCTCTTGCCCTCTACTCCCGTGAGCCCCGCACTCCCCTGGCTCTGCCACTTCTCATCCCCATCTTCACCCCCTTCCATCCCCTGCATCCCTTCTATCCCCTCCTCTCCCCCAACCCCGGCCATGAGCACCAAACCCAGAAAGCCACCCGCCTCTGTTGTCCCTCTTCCTCCTCCTTTCCCTGCCTCACCACTCGCCCCTGCCATGCCTGCAGTCCACAGGTGGGCAGCAGCGGATTGCAGTCGCACCAACAGCAAAGCAGCAGCCTCCACCTCTCCCGCGTCCGACCTTCCCTCCCCGCCTGTGCCGCTGCGGATGTCTTCACTAACACACTGGGGCCCAGCCGAACCTAATACAGCCAAACCTGATGCAGCCGAACCTGATGCAGCCGGACCTGATCCAGCTGAACCAGACACGACCGAACCTGATCCAGCCAAGCCTGCTGAACCACCAATAGAAGCAGCAGCAACATCGCTGCCAGCGCAAGCACCATCGCTGTCAGGAGTGGTAACAGCCGTAACGATGGCAGTTAACTCATCTTTGCTCCAGCACTCTCCCCATCCGCCCTCCCCTCCCCGCTGCTCCCAGGGAAAGCACAAAATCGCTGCCCTGCCTCTCTCCTCACACCCACGGCTGCAAAACTTGCTGGAGCCTGCTGTTGAGTCGAAAATTATCCGTAGCGTTACATCTACAGTGCGTGTACACTGCGGATTACCACACAAGCCTGCTGCAGCGCGCTCGTTCATGACGTCACACAGCTCCCTGCGCGTCAGAAGCCGGGACGCGGCGTCCAGCTGGCGGCGTGTGATTGGCGGGCCTTGCAGAAGGTGCAGCTGGATGCTGAAGGCAGCGAGGTGACGCGCCTGGGGAGACAAGCAAGAGTGGGGAGAGGCAAGGCAGGAGCGGGGGGGCGGAACGAGGACACGAAGACGCGAGGGAAATTCAGAGAGAGTTATCATGGGAGGGAGTTTCCAAAATCAGCTTGGATCGCCGAGAGCCATGTTTACAGCAGGGCACGGAGAAAGGCGAAGCGACAGCGGCGATGCTGGACAGAGGTTCGGAACGCGAAACGGGCCGGATGGTTACCTGGCGGTTGAAGTGGGCGCGATCCAGGTGGCTGACTGGCGGCTCGTCGCTGCTCATCGGGCTGCGCTGATCGGCTGGCAGGCCAAGGCGTGTGAGAGACGAGGCGAGGCGAGGCGAGGCGACTGTTGCGAGGTAGGGACGAGGAGACGGGTGCATCCCCTGCATCCCTTCTATCCCCTCCTCTCCCCCAACCCCGGCCATGAGCACCAAACCCAGAAAGCCACCCGCCTCTGTTGTCCCTCTTCCTCCTCCTTTCCCTGCCTCACCACTCGCCCCTGCCATGCCTGCAGGCGAGGCGAGGCGAGACGATGTGCGGCGAGGCGAGGAGAGGCGATGGTGAAGTGGAGAAGACGACTGTTGCGAGGTAGGGACGAGGAGACGATGGTGGTGCGGCGGAGGAAGAAGATGGAGAGAGGGAGTTGCGAGGAGGTGGAGTGAAGAATGAGGCAGGCATGTGTCCTGCTTTTACTCCACGGGGTGAAGAGCTTCTCGCCGAGGTGCAGGACACGGCAGCTGCGATTCCCGCGAGGGTATTCTGACGAGAATTGTGCCGGATTCGCCAGCTCACGCCGACTCTATGGCTGCCTATTGGCGGATCGAGTGATCTCATCGAGAAGAGGGGATCTTGAAATGGAGGAGATCGCGAGCAGGAGATCGCGATTAGGTCGCGCGTAGTGAAGGGGATCGCGGGTAGGGGATGGTGGGAGATGGCGAGGGCAGGCATCGCGGCTGCTCGAGTGAAAGATTCGATTTGCGTTCGCTGCAGCTGCGCCCGCGTCGTTTAAATTCGGTCTTGGATGTCGATGAGATCGAAGGGGACGCTGAGGAAACAGATTCTCCGGGCATTCCGTTGCAGGAGTCTCGGAAACCGGATTGTGCCACGCAACTACCAGAATTCAATTCGTCATGCGAGGAACGGGCCGACATGCCGCCCAATGACTCTCTCGTTCTGGCATGTAGCTGGCTGCTGCTGATTCGCACACCGCGGTCCCATCGTAACGATGTAACCAGCCTGGCATCACGTGGGGGAAGATCAGAATCCCAGCGGCGCGCCCTACCTATGCATGACTTCATTACAATCATGCATCCATCCAGCAGCCATGGTTGGGTATCCGTGGCGTTGCGCGCTGACATCGCTGGCATCATCGTCACCGCCCTGCGAGCAAGGCTCGAGCCGATACGCTGGCCCTCGAGCCTGTTCGTGCTGCGTGTGCAGCTGAGATTGACGGGAGAGCCGTAACCCAGAGAGAGCTGAGATAGTTTCTAAGAGTCTAGGGAGCTTGGTGATTGCACGAGAGGTCATCTGCAAGAAGAGTACGCTATGCGAAGTCAATGTAGAAGAGGTGTTACGAGTGCAATTGAGCGAGCGAGCGAGAATTGCACTATCAAAGCAAACAGTATCGTACATTGAGAGAAGGCATGAACGAAGAATAAAAAAGCTAAGATAGAGAGGTAACGGTAATGTGTGAAATTGGGGTGCACTACGGGCGTAGCGCCAAGGCTGGGAATTGTCGAGGCGGAGGTCCGGAGCGCGGGTTACCAACCGAACCGTGAGGTTGGGTCGCGTCGTGAGCAGTGGCGGGAACAGTAGTCGAGGCGAGTGTCGCGAGTGGTTGTCAAAACTGTTATAGTGCTTACTTTGTATAGGCTGTAGTGGGGTAGCCCATAAGGGGAACAACCCAATTAGGGTTAGTACTTGTACCCAACTTCTGTTCAATCCAATCATTCTCGTTCTAGATTCTAACGTGGTTTCAGAGCAGGTCCTTCCCTAGGACCGATTTTTTTTTTTAGGGCCCACCACATAGCTGCCCCACTAGCTGCCCTACAGCCCTGCCCTAACGGCCCGCCGCCCTGCTAGCCGCTGTGCCGCCCCTAGCAGCCCGTCGCGCCGCCCTTAGCAGCCCGCGAGCCGCCCCTGCAGCCAACGCGCCGCCCCTGCAGCCCGCTCGCCGCCATTGCCGCCCGCTCGCCGCCCGCTTGCGGCCCGCGCGACGTCCCTGCAGCCAGCTCGCCGCCTGCTTGCGGCCCGCTCGCCGCCCTTCGGCCCGCTCGCCGCCCTTGCGGCCCACTCGCCGCCCTTACGGCCCGCTCGCCGCCCCTGCAGCCCGCTCACCGCTCGCTTGCGGCCCGCGCGGCGCCCATCCAGCCCGCTAGCCGTCCGCCTGCGGCCCGCTCGCCGCCCTTGCGCCCCACTCGCCACCCTTACGGCCCGCTCGTCGCCCTTGCCGCCCGCTTGCGCCCGCTCGCCGCCCCTGCAGCCTGTTCGCCGCCCGCTTGCGGCCCGCTCGCCGCCCCTTGCAGCCCGCGCGCTGCCCTCTTGCAGCCTGCGTGCTGCCCGTTGCAGCCCGCTCGCTGCCCCTTGCGGCCCGCTCGCCGCCCCTTGCAGCCCGCTCGCCGCCCCTTGCGGCCCGCTCGCCACCCTCTGGCAGCCCGCTTGCCGCCCCTTGCGGCCCGCTCGCCGCCCCTTACAGCCCGCTCGCTGCCCTCTGGCAGCCCGCTCGCTTCCCCCTTGCAGCCAGCTCGCCGCCCTCTGGCAGCCCACTCGACGCCCTTTTGCTGCGTGCGCCGCCCCGCTGGCCGACCTTGTCAGAATGTTATTATCTAGCCTGTAGTGGGGTGCTCTATAGCGAGTACAACCCTGTTAGGGTTTGCTATATGTATCCCAACTGCTGCTAGTGAAACCCCTCCTTTCTTCATTTCTGTTTCTCACTGCTAGTTTCTGACATGCTATCAGAGCAGGTCGACCCCCTTGGGTCGATCCTGTGGGTGGGCCCACCACCTAATGCTTCCGCTGCTGTTCTACTTGTCGCGCGCCTCGGTCGCGCGACGCCTCCTTCCTGCCGTGCGCTCGGGGCGCGCGGCGGTTTTCTGCCCGCCGTGCGCCCCGAGGCGCGCGGCGGTTTCCTACCATGGGGGACCCGCGCGCGCCCCCGCCCTGTCCGTCGCGGCGCCCTGGGGGAGCCGCGCGCTGCCCCCGCCCGTCCGTCACGGCACCCTGGGGAGCCGCGCGCTGCCCCCGCCCGTCCGTCGCGGCACCCTGGGGAGCCGCGCGCTGCCCCCGCCCGTCCGTCGCGACACCCTGGGGAGCCGCGCGCTGCCCCCGCCCGTCCGTCACGGCACCCTGGGGAGCCGCGCGCTGCCCCCGCCCGTCCGTCGCGACACCCTGGGGAGCCGCGCGCTGCCCCCGCCCGTCCGTCGCGGCGCCCTGGGGAGCCGCGCGCGGCCCCCTGCTGCCCCTTGGTGGCGCCCTGGGGGCCGCGCGCCTTCCCCCCCGCCGTCCCCCGCGCTCCTACCCCTTGCAACTCGTTTTAGGGTTTGGGGATGAGGAGTGTGGGGGTGACGGTTCTGGGGGTGACGGTTGTGTGCACCGTCCTCTACTCCTCCTCCTCCTCCGTCTCCCACTGCTGCAGCTACCGCTGAGGGGGGTGGGTGTGTGGGAGCCGAGGGTTTAGGGTTTTGGGGGGGGTGCCGTGGGAGTGGAGCTAGGGGTTTCAGCAGGGAGTGTGTGAGAGGTGTGTGGGACAGTTGGAGGAGGTTGAGTGGAGGCTGCTGTCTTGTCGTCCGCAGCACCTGTAGTCCGGGGCGCACTGTCCTGGTAGCCCAGAGAGTCTGCTGCGCCTGTCGCCCGTGGGTCCGTTGCTCCTGTAGCTCCTCGTAGCCCGTGAGCCAGTTACTCCAGTAGTCCGGGGCGCTGTCTCGGTAGCCACTGTGCCAGCAGCTCCTGTTGCCCGTGTGTCTGCAACTTCAGCCGTCGTCTCCCATCTTCTATCCTCGCACAGTCCCTCCTCCTCCTCACTTGCCCGCTGTGATTACCTCTAGCTTTGCTTATCATTGTGCACTCCTACTATGCCTGCTCATTGTGCTGATTACACCCCACTTTGGCTATGGGGGTGTGTCAGAATGTTATTATCTAGCCTGTAGTGGGGTGCTCTATAGCGAGTACAACCCTGTTAGGGTTTGCTATATGTATCCCAACTGCTGCTAGTGAAACCCCTCCTTTCTTCATTTCTGTTTCTCACTGCTAGTTTCTGACAGACCTAGCCGTGCGCCGCCCTGCCTTGCTCTGTGCGCTGCTCTGCTGGTCGCGCCCCACCCTGCTCTGCCCGCTATGGCTTCTCTCAGTGTACTCACCTTCGATCATGAGGGCCGTCCGATCTAGTTCGATACATGGCTCGACGACTTACAGCTGTACCTACTGAACGATTCTAGAGATAGCGTTTCGTTGTTTGACCACACGTATGGAGCCTCTCTCGCCCCTCCCGCCACAGCTGACAGTGCGACTCGCTCACAGTGGCTTACCTGTGACGCTGCTGCTTGCTTAGCCGTTCGCAACCACCTTCCGTTAGCCGAACGCGCTCACTTTGGAGAGCACAAGACTGCTAAAGCACTGCACAACGCTGTAGTCGCCCGTTACTCCTCCCCTGCCACTGCTGCTCTAGGCCGTCTTCTACTGCCCTACCTGTTTCTCGAGCTGTCCGCCTTTGCCACGGAAGAGGACCTCGTTACCCACCTTCGCACTAGCGACGCTCGCTACCGCGCTGCACTCCCAGTAGAGTTCCTTGACAGGAACCCGCCCTCGATGTACATCACTCTCTACTTCATAGTCACCCGCCTCCCTGACTCTCTTCGCGCTGTCAGGGACCACTTTCTCACACTTGACCCCACAGACCTCACTGTCGACCTGCTCGAGCAGCACCTCCTTGCAGCTGAGACTAGCGTAGTCGCTGTAGGTACCGCTCGTGGCACTCCTCGCACACCCTTCTTTAAGGGGTGTTCCCCCTCCCCCCTTGCCCCCTCCTACGCCTCTGCTGCTGCTGTTGACATCCTTGGTGTTGCGGATGTTGGGGCTGCTTCAACTCTTAGTGGGAAGCGCCGCAACAGCAAGGGCAAGGGTGGCAGGAGTGGTGGCGGTGGCAGCGGGGATGGTAGTGGGGGCGGCAGTGGAGGTGGTGGAGGTAGCGGAGGTGGTGGCGGCGGTGGGAGTGGTGGCGGGAGTGGGGGATTTGGTGGCACCGGTGGTGGCAGCGGTGGGGGTGGCGGTAGTGGCAGCAGTAGGAGTGGTGGCAGTCGGGTTGGAGCTGTTCCAAGGGGAGGTTCTGGCGGTGGCCAGAGGCAGCAGCAGCAGCGTCGGAGCGAGACCCCTTCTCCCCAGCAGCTTCGTGAGTGGTTTGCTCAGCGTGGGGCGTCTGGGGGTATTGTTCGCTGCCAGTATGTCATTCGCACGGGTGACCGCGCTGGTCAGACATGCGGGAAGCCTCACTCCCAGCACTGCTGCTTTTCCCGCCTAGACAACGCTTGGCGCGCAGAGTTTGGTGACAAGGCTGAGTGCCCCCGCTGGGCAGAGCTGCTTAGGTCTGGAGTTGATATATTTGCTCTTGACTATGATGCCATCATTGCTGCCATGTATGCCTTGTCTGTTAGTGCTGAGGGTGACTGTTACCTGTGTGTGTCGCCTGACCCAGTAATATAGGGACGGCTGACGTCATCAATGCCGCCCCACGCCCCCTGGCACATTCGGAAATCGGGGGGAAACCGAAAAACCCTCAGAATCCCTCGGGTCACCCCGAAACTCCCGCCTGACCAGGCGAAAAACCCCCCCAAAAAACCCTC